TTTTGAAGAAGAAGAATCGTTTGGAAAATCGCCACTTATGTTTTGGGTTTTGAAAAAGTGAAAAAAAGATTGAAAATCCCGACTTTATATACTTTACTGAAGGCTGGCGCGGACCGCACAAAAACGCACCGCGACCGCGCCGAGGAAGGGAAGAAAAAATGACTCTCTGAACCTCCCATCGCGGACCGCACTGATTTAGTGCGCGGCCGCACTGGTCGACCTGGAATTCACTGGCCCTCTGAACCTAGCCACGCGGACCGCGCAGAAATGCACCGCGGCCACGCGGCTTCCAGCGCGGACTGCGCAGAAATGACCGCGGCCGCGCTGGGGGCCTGCAACACTTGGACCTGCAAATTTCTGATACTCTTAAGTCTAAGACCCTCCTGGGACCCACTCAAAACTCACCGGAGCCCTCGGGGCTCCAAACCAAACATGCACATAACTCCAAAAACATCCTACGGACTCATCCGTGCGATCAAATCGCCAAAACAACATCGAATTAGGCCTCAAGACCCATGATTTCCTTCCAATTTCCATGAAACATCAAATTTTACTGCTTCTAGCTCAAAACACGTCAAATGACGCCCAAATCTAACCAAACTTCACAGCAATTGCTTAACTCATATTTAAGACTTGTGCCGGGCGTCGGAACCAAAATACGAGCCCAACAGCACAGTCTTCTAAACAAATAACACTTTCTAATTTTTTAATTATTTTCAAAAAACAATTTCACGTAAAAATTTATTCCTCGGACTCGGGACCTCAGAATTTGATTCTGGGCACACCCCCAAGTCTCATATTTTCCTACGGACCCTCCGGGACTGTCGAATCACGAGTCCGGGTCTGTTTGCCCAAAACGTTGACCGAAGTCAAACTTAATCAATTAAAATATCAAAATTTTATTATTTTTCTCACAAATTCATATTTAAACGTTCCGGCTACGCGCCCGGACTGCGCACACAAACTCGAGGCAACCCCCAAGTGAGGTTTTCACGGCCTCAGAAATACAGAGTGAGTAGGAATACAGGTGATGACCTTTTGGGTCGTCACACAATATGTTTCCACGCTTCTCCATCTGACGGATGGCATAGAATACCGGGTGGCCTTCTATGTTCATAGTGCCATCTTATATGAGGAGCAGATCTCATTGATGCATACAACCTCTTTAATCTAGTTATAAGAGGTAAATAATGCATCGCTTTAACTGGATCTTTCTTTTTTGTATTGGCAATTGTGACTTCCTTAAAGGGAGGCTGATTACAAAATTTACAGTTCTCTAAAGATGTGTCATTCTTATATAGCATACAACCTTTCTCACAATAATCAATCCTCTCTGATGAAAGACCCAACTTAGAAATCAATTTCTTAGCGGTGTAGAAATCTTTTGATAAGTCAATGTTACTCGGATTAAGTTCATTCATAAGCCCAATAATAGAATCCATGCCCGCTTGAGAAATAGAACTATCCGATTTAATACTTAGCAATCTAACCGCAACAGACAACTTGGAATGCACTGAGCCTTCATACAATGGACGACTAGCTTCCTCTTAACTGTTCATTGAAACGCTTAGCCTCATCATTTGGTTCGGATTGAACCCCAAGAAACATCCCAAAAGCACCCCTCATCATTTCATTGTATCGAGAATTTTCAACATTATGCTCCGCAATGGGGCTACCCTCACCACCAAAAGAATTATGAAAGTTAGCATAATCTAAACTAGCATGATTCTCCCCGTGAACAGTCCATATATAATAATTTTCTATAAACCCTTTCTTATAGCGATGAACTTTAACTTCATCTGTTTTCAATAACTTAACATACTTACATTTCACACAAGAGCACCTAATCCTTCCTCCAATAAGAGAATCATCAAGTGTTGAGCCTTAGCAATAAATTCAGCAACCCCTTTAATGAATTCATCCCTCAACCCTGCACGATTAGGATGATTCCTATTATACATCTATCTACGATGCTTATATTCCATCTACACAAATAGAAATCTAGAAATGAGATATTTAAAACAATTTGATTTATTTAAACTGGTTATAAAATTATACTCTTTCAAAAGTTCATTTTAGATATATACGTATCATTGTGTCAAAGCACCTTAATTGATATATTTTATTTTTAAATTAATAATTTTAACACTCGAAATCTCACATTAATTTCTATTCTAAATAATATAAGTCTTTAACTATAATAATTAAATTTGAATAGCTTCTTAAATGTTCATATAATCAAAATAAACTAATGATTTCTCAAATTTACAAATTAATCTTAATGTTGAAATTGAAAAAATTTAAATTTAATATCATTCTAATAATAAATCTAACAAGGAACAATGAACCTAGTACAACAAACTTTATACCAAAGCTTTAAACTATAACTATTTAATATAATTACCGTTGGAAGTGAAAGTGAAAGTTCGTTTTCATTCTTTCCTATCGTTGCTTTCTCAATTATTTTATGCCAACATGTCACCTTTTATATTTCGAAAATAAGTTAATCAAACACTAAAATTAGATTTAGGATTTCTTAACATATTCTTGTTTAACCCAAAATTTTAACCATACCTAATTCAACATATTCTTCTCTCTTTTTGTTGTATATTAAGTATTATTAAAAAACTAAAATACCTAAAATTTCAACCATCCCTAATTCAGCTAGCTAGGATGTTCATATATAGAAAATTACTACAAATTAACAATAAGAACAAGATATATATATCAACGAAGTACTTACTTCGACGGATAAAATGCCGGTGAAGTCGACTGAGCCGCTGCCGCAGCGCGAGGAACCATTGCTGAAAATGGACAAAATAAATTTAAAAAAATTAAGGGGAAAAGGCAGGAATAAGGAGAGGGAGAAGGGAGGAGGAAAAGAGAGAGAGCGAGCGAGAGAGAGAGAGAGAGAGAGAGAGAGAGAGAGAGAGAGAGAGAGAGAGAGAGAGAGAGAAAATACATTACCTATAACGAGGAGTATGATGAAGAAGGACAAGAGGGAGAGAGGAGGAGGAGGATGAGAGAAGAAGGAGGAAGAAAAGAGAAGTGTTTCTGTTTTTGGGGAACGGGGATCGGGTAGGGTTTTAAAAAAAAAATTCGACCGATTCGGTCGGAATTGTCATTTTAATTTTTTTCTAAAAAACTACCGACCAAATCGGTCGGAATTTAAGTCAAACGAGTCAAACTGACTTTTGCGCCAAAAGATGCGACTGATTTGGTGGGAAATATGGTCGATTTTTCAAAAGAAATATATAGTTGATATTTTTTTGACAACTCCGACGGATTCCGTCGGAAATTTTCGATTATCTAGTAGTGTTATTGCTGATACTTTATGTGTACCAAATGCATAGATAAGCCAAAAGGAGCTTATAAGCAAGTTTGACCAACTTATAAGCTTAGCCAAACACCCTCTAATTAGGATATTTAGGATGAGATTCAACTGTAACATATGGTTAAGAAAAGAAAAAGAAGAAGAAGTTCAATGTACCCTCCTAATGGATCAAATCCAAGCCCATCTTTCATGAGAGAGGAGCATGTGATGTTTTAAGAGTAAGTGTTGCATTGTGTCACCCATACCTCCAGAGGCACATATAAGTATTCACTAATTTCTTTGCAAACAATTGATTTATTAGTTTCAAAAATCAGAGCATAGCTTAAGTGTTGGACGTACATTTGCATAAGAATGAATCTATAAATTTTTTAAATTACTTTAATTGATAGCATAAAAATTCAAAAAATCAAGTTAATTAAAAGTCAACTGCAGCTAAGATTGTATAATAAGTATAGGTTAGTAACATGTAAATTGACGAGTAACATGCTTGAACCATTCAAATTGCCTCAAATAGAGTCTTAGGAGAGTAGTAAATAAAACTAAAGCTAATATAAAACTTTTGGTATTTAGTCCTAACCATTAATTTTCTCTAATTGTAATTTGTATGAATATATAGACAAAAGATTATGGATCCCACCCCCCTCAACTGCCCACACCAGACATATTCGTGATTCGTGTATCTATATGATCAATCCGCTACTTTCAGACGTAAAACTCCCATGCATGGATAACATGATGAGTACATGCAGAATATTTGCCTTGGTTATAGCTAGGTTCTTTGAATAGACATTAAATTACTTATACTTCTTATTTAATGACACAAATCCATCCCATTGGTCAGCATTTCTTATGTTAAATGTTCTTGTCCTTCATGCTTCTAGTTATAGACAGATTCAGCAATTTTCATGGCCACAGGTGCAATATATAACAACTAGCTCTATCTAACATTAGTTAGATTGACAATTAATATTCTTAAAATTGATTCCTGGCCCGTCCATTAATTTGAGATATTAATGATGAGGGAAATAGTACATGATTAACAAAACACCACTTGATTAAGATGAGTCATAGTATATCGTGGCTAAGTATAAACCTCGGCAAATCTCCACCAAAATGGATAGAATCCTTAATCTTAAACAATTAACGTAAGAGGGGAAGGTAAACAACAAATAATACGTGTTTCAAATACTATAATATTCACTTTGCCACAGTTGCAGCACTCGTGTTCCTCCCTTCAATATTAATAGTGATAATCTTCCTTTCTAAAAACTTCCTTTTACATTATCTTTTTGTAAAAGTCGTACGAAAATCTTCCAAAAAAGATCCTCATCTCAATTTTAATACTGGCGCTTTGCTGTTACAATTGACAAAATTTGGGTCCTCCAACCAAGACAACAATAATAAGCCACGTATTTGCTGAGACATCTTTCACCGCTTAGAAGCAATAGAGTACTGCCACGTGGTACCTTTTGGAGGGCAACAACATTACTAATCAATGATTAAAGTTTTGTTTCTTGAAGCGCAACAATCTCAACGCTATTAGCAAACGATGCCCGCATCTTGTCGCTTTCTATACAACTTTGTATATAAATACGATGATTTTTGAAGGTATTTCTTCATCCCCAAACATTGAGTTATTCCAAGAACTTAAAAGAAGAGAAAAAAAATGGCAAGTTTTTCTTCAAAATCTAATACTAACAGATCCATCAGTTTACCAAGCAGATCACATCCAGCTACTCAGAAAATTGAAGAGGAGCTCAGTAAGCTTAAGAATTGGGAATTCTCGGCTTCACCAACTGCAGAAGCTGTTTACAATGGTTTACTTGGTTTGGGAGAAGTGTATAAGTGCATGCCTGATCTTCTCAACTTGCCCCTGACTCTTCAAGCCTTTTCCCAATGCCAAGACAAAAAATGGGTCGATGACATCTTGGATAAATCTGTGAGATTTCTTGATATATGTGGGGCCACAAGGGAGATAGTGTCACAGTTTAAAGAAAATGTTAAAGATGTTCAGTCTTTATTGAGAAGGAGAAAAGGAGATTTAAGCATGGAAGCCAGCTGCAGCATTAACTATGTTTCTTTTAGGAAGAAGATGAAGAAAGATGCCAAAAACTTGGTTACAATTTTAAAGAAAATGGATCATGAGGTGGTTGAAGTAATGGAAGTTGATCAACTTGTCTCAGCTGTTATTAGAGTGCTAAGAGAAGTTACCACAATGGGAATTTCAGTATTCCAAATGGTTTTCGTTTTCTTGTCAGCTCCAATTTCTAAGCCAATAAGCAAATGGTCTTTGGTTTCAAGATTGGTAAACAAGGGAGATCAAGACAATGTAAATGAGATAGAAAGTGCTGATTTTGCATTAAACAGCCTTTTCAAGAATGGTTATAATGAAGTGGAGAAGCTCCACTTTGTGCAGAGTAAATTGGAAAATCTAGAAGCTCATTTTGAATGCATTGAGGATGGCCTAGACAACATCTTTAGGTGCTTGATCAGATCAAGGAGCACACTCCTGAATGTTGTCTCTTGCCAATGAATATATATAGTCTTGTATTATTGCATAAGCATCCGAATATTGTAGGATATGCTTATGATGAAAACCTTACTGTAAAGGAACAATTTTGTAACTACACATATACAGAAATATATATATACCTATATCATAGTTATACTACAAATTTTGCCTCTTTCTCTCTTGTATATCTTTCTGAATTCAATCAAACAAAAGACAAAAGTACGACAATAAACTTAGATATACTTTGGTCGAATTCACGGAAGAAATTCTTCCTTGAATGAACAAGTTAATTACTTTGTCGTTCCCTCACATATGCAGAAGAGATGTTTTAAAAAACACAGTAAATTTTCTAGCAAACAATGAACTCAACCCATGGAATATCCACTAGTACTCATGATATACATGTTCTTAGATCCGTCTCTGCTAATAATAAAGGTACATTACAAATGTCCAAGCGGCATGGCGGAGAATCTCGCATAATTCTCAATCTCCTTGCATTCCAATTAATTCCACATGTTCAGTATTTCTTTGAGGTAATTAATTGATTCAACCTATACTTGAATATCATGATACAATTATCCGAAGGATAAAGTAACTCGCATTGGAATACTACTATAATCTATCAGAACTTCTTAGCATGTTGCCAAGAATGTTCTTTATTGAGCTGGTCATAATTCAGTAAAAATTGAATTATCGAATTGAATCGCTCCAAACAGATGAACACCCCTGATTAATTAAGTAGCTTTGTTCTCATAAATTTTGAAAGAATACTGAGGAAAAATGTTAGAAACAAGAGAAGGACAAAAGGTAATTTTATGATAGAACCTAAAATTATCATTTTGCATGAAAATCTATCCCAATTTATAGGATTTAGATATTGGATTAAATAAAACGAAAGACAGACTTTTGCATTAGGATTTGCATATTAAAAGGATTAAGAAATTGGCTGGATTTAGGGCTGTTCACGGTTTGAAATCCAAACCGAAATCCGAACCAAACCGATTAAGTAAACCGATATTTTTCTTGTTTTAGTTCGGTTTTGATTTTAAATTTTAAATATCGATAATATTTGGTTTGGTTTTGGTTCTATTATAAAAAAATCGAAAAAAAAATCAAACCAAACCGATAAATTGTATACAAAATTTGATAATTATTTATATATAATATCATATCTTTTTGTAAATAATTTTAAATATTTTATGCATTTCAATTACTATTTTGAATTTTGGTTTATTTTACTTATATCTTAATAGATTGCATAAGCCCAAAACAATAGGAATCGACCAATTTTCTTTTCCTTACGAGAGTCTAATTCTCTAATCCTACGCACAACTTTGGTCAACTTTTTAGTTTGTTTTTTGTTCATTCTTTTCATATAAACAGGTATATGAACTTTCAGTTCTGAAAGAAACATATAAAAGCATAAATTTACCAAATAATTTTTAGATTGTTGTCTAGTGTCGTTTTACTTCGACTTATTATTAGCTTGCTAAGAACCGAAAAATCGAACCAATCCAAACCACCACCAACAACCAAACTGATGGTTTGTATTTAGTTTGATTTGGTTTTGATTTTAAAATCTTAAAATCCGATTAAATTGGTTTGGTTTAATCAAAAACCGATCAAATCGAATCGTGAAGACGCCTAGCTAGATTAAGCAATAATTTAATCACCTTCAACGAGGATTCTCTTGGTAGAAAACATGGAGGAAACATCAAGGCAACAAGCCACTCGTGCACACCTAACTAAACCATATTCGTCGCTATCTTCTAATTAACCACCGTATATCTTTATTGATTGGTGAAATGAAATCTCGAGATTCTTGATGTGTTTAGATTTCAAATCCTTGACAGCTAGCTGCTTAGCCAAGAATCCATGAGAAAATGGGATCTAAATGAAGTGTAAATTTGGAACCAAATCTTTTATTACAGTTCACAAAACTGCTCTAATAAACCTTTAAACGATAACTAGACCTAGTTAAAAACAACATCTTACTGCCTTTAACTTGTTGATTTACCACGATGAGACAAATTTCATAAAGACTAAAGAGGGTTCTATTCTCCAGATTAGATCCCTAAATTCTATGGATTGATGAGGTAATTTGTATGGGTCAAAATCCGATCTCACGGTAATTAACGGAGTTAATCTCGTCTTGAGCTAATCCATAATTAATAAGTGGTATGGCCACTTATTCATAACAGGATTCGACTCTTGTCTGATTCAATCTACGAGGGCACGGCCCATTCATTCCCCCATGGGGACGGAACCTCAGCGTGGCCACGGCCATTTATTGCCAGCTCACGAAGCTCACATCTATAAATACTAAGAGTGGAAGCCCTAGAAAGGGGGCTGCTTCTTCGCCACTATTCACAAAAGAGAGAGAGAAGAGAAAAATATACCCATCTGATGGGAAGAGAAAAGACCATTGTAAGGCTCTGAACCTCTTCATGGAGAGGCAGACCAAACAAATATTATCAATAAAAGTTGTTAAGATTTCTTCTCCTAACCTTGAGTACTCATTTTCATGTTCTTCGCTTGGTCCAGTGGATTATTACGATTTGCTATGATTTTCCCGTGATTTATTTATATTGTTTTATACTCAAAAGATATGTGATAACTTTTGAGCAAACAATTTGGCGTCGTCTGTGGGGATTTCATAGCAAAATCGCGTAGTTCTTCCATGGACCAAAAGGAAAGAAACTCCGGAAAAGGAAGAACAACCCCGCATAAACAAGCCAAAGCGGCATATCAGGCCGATGGAACTCGAAGATCTCAAATCAAGATCTAAGTCCTCTCTCTCTCTCCGATCTCAGATAGTGCAAACAAAAAGAAGAAGCCCCCCCCCCCCCCCTTCCTAAGGGAAGGTCTCTGTAAGGCATCTCCCACATCCCTGATACGAGCTCCGGCCAGAAACCGGCACGAAGATATCTCGAGCCGAGAGTCGCCTCAAGACAGCCTATAAACCCTGGTTGGGAAGACAACGGATGAGCCGCTCAAGGTCTCGAATCCAAACCGAGCTTCAGCACTCAATACCCACAATATGGGACTCAGGCAATGAGCCTTCGTCATCAAGATCGACAAAGTTCAACAACAGTTGAACTGGGACTCAGGCCATGAGCCTTCGTCATCAAAGATCGACAAAGTTCAACAACAGTTGAACTGGGACTCAGGCCATGAGCCTTCGCCATCAAGATCGACAAAATTCAACTACGGTTGAACCAAGATTCAGGCTAAGCGCCTTCGCCATTAAATCAAGGCTATGCGCCTTCGCCAACAAGTTCAACTACGGTTGAACCAAGATTCAGGCTATGGACCTTCGCCAGTAAGTTCAACTACGGTTGAACCAAGATTCAAGCTAAGCGCCTTCGTCATTAAATCAAGGCTATGCGCCTTCGCCAAAAAGTTCAACTACGGTTGAACCAAGACAGGCTATGCGCCTTCACCAAAAAGTTCAACTACGGTTGAACCAAGACAGGCTATGCGCCTTCACCAAAAAGTTCAACTACGGTTGAACCAAGACAGGCTATGCGCCTTCACCAAAAAGTTCAACTACGGTTGAACCAAGACAGGCTATGCGCCTTCACCAAAAAGTTCAACTACGGTTGAACCAAGACAGGCTATGCGCCTTCACCAACAAGTTCAACCACGGTCGAACCGGGACTCAGGCTATGCGCCTTCACCAAAAAGTTCAACTACGGTTGAACCAAGACAGGCTATGCGCCTTCGCCAAAAAGTTCAACTACGGTTGAACCGGGACTCAGGCTATGCGCCTTCACCAAAAAGTTCAACTACGGTTGAACCAAGACAGGCTATGCGCCTTCGCCAAAAAGTTCAACCACGGTTGAACCAAGACAGGCTATGCGCCTTCGCCAAGACAGGCTATGCGCCTTCACCAAAAAGTTCAACTACGGTTGAACCAAGACAGGCTATGCGCCTTCGCCAAAAAGTTCAACTACGGTTGAACCGGGACTCAGGCTATGCGCCTTCACCAAACAGTTCAACTACAGTTGAACAAAGATAGGCTATGCGCCTTCACCAAAAAGTTCAACTACTGTTGAACCGGGACTCAAGCTATGTGCCTTCGCCACCAAATTTAACAAAGTCCAACAACAGTCGAACTGGGACTCCGGCTACGTGCCTTCGCCAATAAGTCCAACCACGGTCGAACCAAGACTCAGGCTATGTGCCTTTGCCATTAAATCCAACGAGCTCGACCTCGCTCGAACTACAAGGATGGACGCCTTTGTACTCAACTTTAGCAAGTTCAACCACAGTTGAACCGAGACTCAGCCCAAGCGCCTTCATCTGTGAAAGCAAAGCCCGACCTCCAACAAATCGAAGCGCAGGATAGGCACCCTCGCCATTCAAGTAAGTTCTCCCAACTCGAATTAAGAGTCGGGCTACGTAAAGTTCGGCCCCGGTCAAACTACGAGGCCGCATTTTTTACCATCACGACCGGTAGTTCGACCGCGTCCGAACTGAGACTAAGGCTAAGTGCCACTATCGCCAAGCAACGGCTCCGACTCGCTCACCCCGAGTCGAAGAAGAAGAGTCGTCAACAATTAAAAACTAACATGCCTACCAGAGTCGAACTCGAAGGCAAATCACCCCTTCGAGCGCATGCAAAGAAAAATCTAAGGGGGAAAAAGAGGAGAATACAAAACAGACACAAGGCAAATAAC